TCATAGTGACCCCTCCTTGGGTTTCTGAAGCAGTATCACTATGGAAGTAGATTGCCCAGTTTCCCTCTGAGGAGTGACTGGTGGGTTTGAACCGCCAGCCTTCTGGTTAGCAGTCAAATGCTTTAGGCACTATGCTACCAGAGTTCCTGCAATCTCTATAGGTGTATGGGAATCCAGCCCTGAAATCTGTCCTGCATCTGACTATGGCCCTTAGGACCATCTCTTTGGGATAAAAGGAGTGACCAATTAAATCAAGCAGATTTCATTGAGAGTGCGCAATTAAGCATCCAGAAAAAAACAACTAAACTTGACCTTGGGAAGCAAAACTGAAATATGCTGTTTCCTATTTTGAGGGTCATGTGAAATCCACTTTAAAATGGCCTCAAATACAGCGTCTTCCTGTTTGACGTTGAGCTCGTCTTTCTCGATGATATCCTTCAGTTCGGTGACCGAGAGCTCCAAGAATTCCGCTGAGACTTTCACCATCTCCTCGAAGTTGTGCAGTATGAACATGTAGGCCTTCTGCCTGAGCTCAGGGCAATAGTAGTAGTCGGTAAACTTGCAGATGCCAATACAGTTATCCAAACACAGCTCTGACTTGAGGAACTCGCAGCAACCTCTGACGATACCCATGATGTTAAACTGGTCTGCAGCAGCCAGCAGCTTCTCCACATTGTCCGGTGTGATAGGGACTGTCCGGGTGTATGCGTATTCAATAATTAGCTTCATCATGTCGGGGGAAATGCCTGGGATGTTGTATACCTTCTTTTCAGTGTTGTTCCAGCCACTTGTAAACAAAGCTCTGGAAAAAAGAAAAAAGAAACTAGCAGCCACAGAAACATTTCTCTCCAGTTTGCCGTGTTCTCCCCTACCTTTGCTTAGGGGGATTTGGGCGTTTTGAAATAGTACATGCACCGTGTGTTGGAAATCAATTGACCCGAAGAAGGGAGGGGGGATGACTCTGTGCTTTATACAGTGAGGAAGGACAGAGTTCTTTGACTCTGGTCACTCTTAATTGATCCTCATGATAACTAGACCTTTTTCCCATTTTGTGACTGGAGAAGTCTAGAGCCGGGACTAGGACCCCGGTCTGTTCTGTCTCAACCCATTGCCCGGTAAATTCTACCTTGCTTAGGGAAATTAAACTTGAGCAATACATTTGTTTAGTAAGTATCACACATCACATTCCAGAACCTGATCACTTTTCACTTCCACTGCTGCCTCGTTCCAAGCTGGCATCATCTCTTGCTTAGACTATTTGGAGTAACCTCCTAACTGAGTGTCATGCTTCTGTCCTTGACACTTCCAGAGGCTATAGGCTCCCTGTAGCCAGTCTGATTTTTTTTTTTTTTAATTGTGATTTGGGTGAAAGCAAATTCATTTTCTATACAGCAGTTCATACCGATTTTGTTTCATGACATTTACTCTAATTCTCCACAATGTAACAGCTCTCTTCCCACTTCCTCCCTATATTTACCTCTTCCCTGTGCCCTTCCTTCCTGTGCATTTCTACCCTCTGAACTATCTCCCTGTGCAAATACTGCCCTTCTGTTCTCCCATGATCGGTTGTTCCAAGGTATCTACCTGATGTAAATGTTCAGCCTATTTGGCTGGAAGCCATGGAAATGAGTTCAATTCCAGACCTGAAAGGTAACTAGGCAGTCTGATTCTTATAAAAAATCATTATGGTACTCTTCTGCTTAAAACCTTCCACTGACTTCCCTTACTCAGAGTAAAATACAAAGTCCTTTCTAGGGACTACAAAAGCCCTCTGACATCTGGACCTCTAATACTTAACTCTTAAGACCATACTTCCTCCCACTTTTCCCCTCACTCACTCTGCTCCAGCCCAACTCTGTCCTGCCTCTTGAACACAGGTACTTCCATCTTTGGTCCTTTGCGCTTTCTATTTCCTTTGCCTGGAAGGCTATTTTACTTACATTTAATGCCTTTTTCCTCTACTGGAATGCAAGCTTTCTAGTACCCAGAACAGTGCTTGTCACAAAATACCCACTCTATACCCACTGTCATCGAGTTGATTCTGACTCATAGTGACCCTATAGGACATGGTAGAACTGCCCCATAGGGTTTCCAAGACTGTAAATCTTTATGGAAGCAGACTGCCTCATCTTTCTCCTGTGGAGTGGCTCATGGGTTCAAACCACTGACTTTTGGTTAGCAGCCTAATGCCTTAACCACTGGGCCACCAGAGCTCATGTCACAAAATAGGCACTCAATAAATAATTATTGACTGAATAAATGAGTACCTTTCCACAACTATTTATTGGGCTTCTACTATGCACCTAGGCACTTTTCTAGGTGAACAAGACAGGAGACCCTGCCCTAATAGGGGGATTTAACCTCTTCAGTTTTCTAAGAGGTTAAAGGGAATATGGACTTAGATCATATTTTTCCTCTAGAACAGGGAACTATAAGCCTCAGCCTCTGAGGCAAAACTGGCTCACCTCTCGTTTTTCCACCTCCCATAAACCAAGAATTGTTTTTACATTTTTAAATGATTGAAAAAATATAAATATTTTGACATGTAAAAATTTTGTGAAATTCAAATTCTAGTGACCTTAAATCGTATTGGTGGAACACAGCCACACCCATCATTTAGTACTGTCTGTGGCTGCTTTAAAGAGCCCTGGCGGTGCAACAGTTAAATGTGCAGATTGTAACTGAAAGGTTGGCGGTTCAGATCCACCCAGCAGTTCCTAGGGAGAGAGACCTGGCAGTTTGCTTCCATAAATACTATGGACTAGGAAGCTCTATGGGGCAGTTCGGCTCTGTCACATGGGGCTGCTATGAATCCGAATTGACTCTATATAACTAACAGTAACATGGTTGCTTTTGCACTACAAAGGTGGAGGGTAGTAGTTGCATCAGAGACCCGAAGGCTTGCAAAGCTGAAAATATGTACTATCTGGCCCTTTTACAGAGCCTGCTAGAGTCTAGAGGGATGAACATTTTTAGCAACCGATATGACACATTTATCATATCTTCATTGGAATTAATTACTCAACCATTTTCAGCTCGTGAATAAAATAGCCCTTCCACTTCCTACATCACAATTATTTTGGTCACACCTCCCCTTTTCTTCTGATAAATGTGTCCTTGATTCTTTCCCCTCATCTCCCTTCTTATCCCCCAATCCTGTAGTCTCTCTTGGGATAGGAGCCTAAGGGGTGGCTGAAGTAGCAAATCCATCTGAAGGATGGGTTTGAAGGAAATCTAGTACAAGTGTCCAGCCTTCCCAAAAGCAATACATGTTTGGGTGGAAATCAACGCGAAAAGGACCTGGCCCACCAATTGTCGTTGTTATGTGCCGTTGAGTCAGCCCTGACTCATACCGACCCCTCCTTGGGTTTCCGAGGCAGTATCACTATGGAAGTAGGATTGCCCAACCTTCCTTCCGAGGAGTGGTTGGTGGGTTTGAACCGCCAGCCTTCTGGTTAGCAGTCAAGTGCCTTAGCCACTATGCTACCAGAGGCTGAAATCCAGTTGAGAATTCAGGAAGAAGAGCCTTTAGCCCTAGTTATGCCTCTTCAGCAGACAAAAGGGTCAGGCTACAGGAGGAGCCCAGAGCTCTGATAAAACAAAAAAACTCACTGCCATCTAGTTGATTTGACTCATAGTGACCCCTCCTTGGGTTTCTGAGGCGGTATCTCTACAGAAGTAGATTCCCCAATCTTCAGTCAGATGGCTTAGGCACTATGCCACCAGAGCTCCCTGAGCTCTGATAGTGACTCTGAACTTAAGATTGTAGGATGGGAAATGAAATGAATCAAAATATCCATCTCCAAATGAACCCGATTACCCTTTAGGCTTTGTCCGGCAACCCTGTTATACCTAAAGTAGGAACTGCAGCTACAGAGGATGTTCTTATGGGCATTGAACTCAAAGCCATTGACCTTGATAACCACGTCACAGAGCTTGCCCTCTAGCCTAAGTTCGTTGAAGATCTCACAGGTCATCGCACTCATCTTCCTCTCCATGTGAGGCTGGTGGAATCGTGTGGAGGCCGCCGAGCTCTCCATCTCCATAGCACCCTGGGGTCGGTGGAGAGGGGCTGCTCTCCAAGGGTGTCTGGGAGTGTTGTGGGGGGCCCCTTTAGCCAGCTGTCACTCCTTTTCCCTACTACATCTTTCAAATAGGACCCATCAGGCAGTCCAAGTTCCAGAATCAGGGGCCAGCAGTGAGGTCATGCATGGGATTGTGCTCTCAGGTTCTGGAACTCCCCCTGTCCCTGGCCTATTGTCTCCCCTCCCCCGCCACCACTCAGGCTGAAGACCACCCAACACCTCCTCCCATGTCCTTGAACCCAGAGCAGAACTGTGACCACCAACATCACAGAAGAGATTTTATTCCTTCTAGTTTGTTGTCCACTTCCCATTGTGACTACCCTGGATGGCTCCATATTGCTCTTCCCAGACTTTGAGTTCAAGGAAATCCAAGTCAGAGGAGGCAGAAGGGAAAAGCAAACATTAAGTTTCATCCTGGCCCAGTTGTTCAAGGTTTTCTTGCCCCCTGGATATGTATTAGCCACTCAGTTTCTTCTCTGGTGAGGAGTGGGCCTAGTTACAGAACCACCTTCTGGACGTTTCACAGAAATCACTTTACGGCTCTTTCACATCCTTTCCCAGGGTGCGGTTTTCTTTGCAACACAACTTTTTTTTTTTTTTTTAGAATAAACACCTTTAATACATGTGCTAAGAGGGGAGGGAGGATTTATTTGCCTTTCCGGGCCTTGATTTTCCTCAGATAGAACTTTTAAGCCTGGAAGTGAGCACTCTTGCTAAGGTTTTTGCTCCAGAAAGAGTGGGGGGAGCTTACCCAAGGCCCTGTGACAACCCAGCCGTCCACATAACCCCGACTCCTTGGCACCCTAACCCTACTCAAAGGATAACTCTTCGGTCCTAGCATACAGCACAACCCACCTAGGCCACCTGCAGTTCCTCAACCGCATCTTCGCCACCTCCTCCTCCTGGGCCGGCCCGGGCGAGAGCCGACGCCTGCGCAGTCCGGCCGCTGGGCGGTCGTTGTCCCGGCACCGCCGAGTAGGTCGCGAGCGCCATGGCGGAAGAGGTGAGGTGGGAAGAAGCGTCCAACGGGGGGCGGGCACCTACCCCTGGGACGCTCCGAGGCCCCCGGCGGGCCGCAGCGCCACCCCGGCCTGTGGCCGCTCCGGGCCATGCCGGAGCTCTCCGACCCCTCGCGAACTCCCGCCCGGCCTCTCAGGGGTGCTCGAGCGAACCCCCGGCTCCTCTTTGGGCCCAGCCGGGTGTCAGGGTTAGCGGTTCTCTCGCGTCTCGGGACAGGTGAGCAGTCTAATGAAGGCCACAGTCCTGATGCGGCAGCCCGGGCGGGTGCAGGAGATCGTGGACGCCCTCCGCAGGGGCGGGGGAGACCGGTTGCAGGTATCGCCGGGGCGGGGTGGGGGGTGGCGAGCATAGTCCGGGGAGCTGGCAGGGGGTTTCCTGCCCAGTTGCATTCCAGGTATGCTGCTGACACCTGGAAGCCCAACGCCCTTAGAAACTGCCAGGGCCCTGAGCGCCAAGTAGGTTGGTTCTCCTGTTTTGCCTTGCGTGAACAGTGTCACTTGTCCTAAAACCTAGATTTCAGATTCCTCAATAAGGTCATGCTGCTTCCTCTGATTAGACAGAAAGCACCTCATAAGGGCACTTGGGACTTTACCTTCCACACTAGCCCAGGCTAGCCACTCCTCAAGAAGAACTTGCAGGTGTGGAGCTGGGCCTTTATAAAGTGAAGACACCACACGAAGGACCCGGTGGTATTGAGATAGCCCTGATTCTTCAGCTCCCCCACAATCCAGAAGAGACGGGGCCTTGGTTAAGGCTAACACATGACTGCTTCCCTGCCCCTCTTGAGCCATCCCCTCTGCCAAACCCAGGGCTTTGCCTGTAAACTTCCACAGGCGTCCACAGGATCAGGCCAGAGGGAACCTATCTAGGCATCATCTCTCTTGCATTTTAGGTAATTTCTGATTTTGACATGACCTTGAGCAGGTTTGCATATAATGGAAAGCGATGTCCTACTTCTTACAGTAAGTCACCCGCTAGCTTGCCTTGTTGGGCTTGACAGAATGATAGCTTCTGAAGGGCAAGTAGCACGAGTGTTCTGTTTTTCCAGATATCCTGGATAGCAGCAAGATCATCAGTGAAGAGTGCCAGAAAGAGGTGGGTTGCTCCCTTCTTTGTTCAGAGATGACCATCATATGTGACTTCAGAGGTTGCTGGTTAGGACCAAAGATTCCAGGATAGAGACATTAGAAAATAACAATTTTTACATAATTATTGCTAAAGCTAGTTAAGCCCTGTTGATTGAGCTAATTCATAACAACAAACAATAATTTAAAAAAAAATTCTAGTACCTCTCTTCTCTGAGAGTAAAAGCTCTCTGTATTGATGACTCTTAGACCTCACTCTCTCAGGGTGAGTGCAAAGTGATGACTAGCTCTGCAGATCCAGTCACTGTGGACTTTTATCAGATGGGTCCGTGTGAACCTGTTGACCATTTATGTGATGGAAGATGATAGGAGAGGAGAAGCTTGACTCTTGTGGATCAGGTGTCCCCACATGAAAAACTGCAAGAAAATTTACATTTTCTCACCTGAAGCTATTTCTTGAAAGTGATTTATTTTTTATTTTTTTATGTTAAACTATAGGACTTTGGTGGGGAAAACTTGACATGGACTAATGACTTTTCTCTTCATCTGAATGTCCCAGCTAAAGGCACTGCTTCACCGCTATTACCCAATTGAGATCGACCCACACCGGAGCGTCAGAGAGAAGTTACCTCATATGATTGAATGGTAAGTGCTGGTGGTGAAGAAAAGCTCCCTGGGTCCTTAAGATGACTGGAGGTGGGGAGCCGTGGGATTTTTTTCTTGGGCTTTCATGAGATTTGAGAGGCTCCTCTTACCTTATTGAGGGCTGACTGAATGCTATTAGCCCAGTTCTTACAACAAACTACGCAGATACATGCAGAGCCAATTATGCTGCTGACACAGTGAGGGTCCTTAGAGGATCCTTGGCATAAGTTTGAGGCTCCCTTGGTTTTGGGGACATAGCCCTCTCATGGAAACCAGCATCACTGGATGGCGCCTCCTTTCTCCAGAGGGGGTGGATCACAGAGGAAGGGATACAGAAGAGGTTTGACTTAAGCAGTTAAGTCGCCTGCTTCTTATCTCTCGGTTCTGTTGCTTTCCAACCTCTTCAAGGACAGCCGTAGTCCTTTAGGAAATGACTCTGAAAAAGATGAGGCCTCTATTCTCCAGTCAGTACCTGCAGGTGGGGGCATCTTGGCTCCATAAAAGGAAAGGACACTTGACTTGCTCCAATGTTTTGAATTTGAGGTTCTGTGGGGTATCTGCTTGTAGGTGGACCAAAGCTCACGATCTCATGTGTCAGGAGAAAATACAGAAGTTTCAAATCGCCCAGGTGGTGAGAGAGTCCAATGCAATGCTTAGGTAAGTTGTTTGCTCTGGGAAACATTGCTGCCAGACTATTTGAAACTGTTTTGCTTCCAAATAAGGAGGCTGGGGAGGTGTGATGAGGTTACGTTGCTGGGAAAGTCAGAAGGGACATGAGCAACTGATGTGAAAAGATCTTGCTTTTGCTCTCTGGATACAAGTACAGGATTTTCTACCCTGGGGTGCTTCCCGGAAGCAATCTGGTAATGGATGGAGTGTGACTCTAACCAGGGCGTTATCTGAAATGGAGTCTAGCTTGTTTTTCACAATGGTAGAAGACTTTTGCGGTTTTCAATGGCACAGATGGTTACGTGCTCAACTATTAGAGCCAGAAAGTTGGTAGTTCGAACCCACCCAGAGACGCTTCAGAAGACAGGCCTGCTGATCTGCTTCTGAAGGGTCACAGCCTTGAAAACCCTGTGAGCAGTTCCGTTTTGCACATGTGGGATGCCACAAGTTGGAATCAGCTGGATGGCAGCTAATAGCAACAGTGGTAGTATAGTAACTCATGCTCTTTATCGAGACCTGGGAGTTGGCTGCATAGGACCTTTTTTGATCCTCAGTGACCTTTACTGAGCAGCTCTCCCTTCAGAAGGCTGGTGGTTCCAACCCATCAGCTGCTCCTCGGAAGGAAGGTTGGGCAATCTATTTCAGTAGTGATACTGCCTCGGAAACCCAAGGAGGGGTCGCTATGAGTCGGACTTGATGGCACGTAACGACAACAACCTCCCTTCAGGGCCCTCTACTGGAGGAAGATGGGATATATAGAGGAAGTGGTCCAGATGTGGACTATCCCCAAGGCTTTGTATATCCTCATTGGGGAAGGAGGCTAGTGGGGCATTCTCAGTGAAGGTGCCCCAGGCTAATGCCTGGTTGTATGAGTAGCAGCAGAAGCATGCCTACTCTCTGCCTTGGCAACCTCTGCCCACGGGAAATGAGTGTATATATCCATTGTACAGATAGAGGGTATACTATATACCATATAAGACATGTACAAGGTGTTCATAGCAGCTTTGTTCATAATAGCTGAAATCTAGACTCATCTCAACAGGAAATGGATAGACAAAAATGGAATGTCACATAACAGTAACAAAGAATGAACTGGTAAATGCAAATCATGGATATATCACACAGACATTATATTGAATGAAATAAGCCAGACACAGAAGAGTACAATCTGTATGATCCCATTTATATGAAGTTCAAAGACAGGGCAAACTAATTGTTGGTGACAGGAAGTCAGAATAGGGGTGGTGGTTACTGGGAAGGAGCGTGAGGGAACCTTGATCTAGGACTGGTTACATGGGTGTAAATGTGTACAAGTTAATTGATCTCAACACTTAAGATTCATGCATTTTACCCACTTCATTATATGTATTTAGACCTCAATTTAAAGTTTTTAAAAAAAAAAATACGAACTGCTGTATGGAAAGTGAATTCACTCTGTAAATCTTCACCCAAATCACAATAAATAAAATTAAAAAAAAAAAGATCAAAAAAAAAATACGTAATCCAAGTTGAAAACAAAGAATAGTGACAGAGGCGGTGCTTCCGGTTGTTGTACCATTTCAGAATTCATTTATCTCTTTTCAGGGAAGGATATAAGAAGTTCTTCAGCACACTTTACCATAACAACATTCCTCTTTTCATCTTTTCTGCGGGCATTGGTGATATCCTGGAAGAAATTATCCGACAAATGAAAGTTTTCTACCCCAACATCCATATTGTGTCTAACTATATGGATTTTGATGAAAATGTGAGCAAAGTCTTGTTTGAACTGGGGTGGAAGTGGGGTGGGGACCCAGGGTGCTTGGCCCAGTACATCAGCCCTAACTCGGGGTAGGGAGGGGGAAGGGAGGCACGCTGGTTTCTTTGTTCTCAGGCAATTATTTTTATTTTTCACTTTTTGCCAGCTAAAGAGGACCGTCTTTGGTGTTTAGCAGATGGTCAGCTCTCTGCCCTGGGGGACCTAATTTGTGGGGCATCCCAGCCCCCTTTTCAGTGTCATGGGTTATGTGCTGTCCTAGGTACTGAAGGGTTGGATTTTGACCTATTTTTCTAGAGCCAGAGGCAGCCTGCTCCAACTCAGCCACTTCTGACTTCTTTTCCCTTAAACCAGTGGCCAGAATTACATCTCTTTGACCAGTGGTAAAGATGTGGCCTGCAACTGAGGGTTATCATGCTTGTAACCTGAACAGCGTGTGTATCGTGGTTTATACTTTCACCAGAGCAGATGACCAACAATATTTGATGGTCCTTGTTAATGTAGACCAGGGTTTGGCAAAATTTTTCTGTAAAGGGCCAGGTCATAGATATTTTGGGCTTTGCAGGCCTTACAAGTTCTGTCACAACTACTGAGTTCTGCTTTTGTAGCACAGAAAGGCAGCATCAGCAATACATAAACAAATGGGCTCTGCTGTGTTCCAGTAAAACTTTACAAAATCAGGCCACATTTGGCCAACAGGCCATAGTTTGCCAGGTTCTAGTTTAGACTGTAGTGAAGTTTTGGCTTTATCAGTGGTTTTCAGGATTCCCTTTGATCCTGACAGAGACTGTGGAAAACTGGCCCCAGGCGGGTCCCTGTAGCTCTTCTGTCTCTCCTCTTGATTGTTTAGGGTTTCCTACAGGGATTCAAGGGCCAGCTCATTCACACATACAACAAGAACAGCTCCGTGTGTGAGAATTCCAGCTACTTCCAGAAGTTTCAGGGCAAAACCAATGTCCTCCTGCTTGGAGACTCCATGGGGGACCTCACTATGGCCGACGGGGTTCCAGGCGTGGAGAACATTCTCAAGATCGGCTTCCTGAATGACAAGGTGGGTCGGGGACTGAAGCTTCCTCTCTCTGTGACTGGCTTCTCCTTCAGTCCCTGTAGTAAGTGCTTATTGAACAGCTTCTCTGTGCTAGACACTACGTTAAGCACTAGAGATACAGGATAAGACACAAGCCACAGGAGCTCACCATCTCAGGGAGAGAAAAGAGATAACCTCTGTGTATTCACTAGTGCCACAACATGGGAGTTCAGGGTAAGGGTGATGCCAGACCCTCGCTGTAGCCAGCGTGTACTGAGTGCTCACCACATGTCAGTCCCTGTTCTGAACACTTCACATCCATGAATGCTTTTCATCCTTACAACAACCCTTTGAGGTAGTGACTGTTGTCATCCCAATTTTACTGATGAGGAAACTGAGGCAAGGAAGTTAAGTAATTTGCCCGAGCTCAAATAGCTTAGAAGATGGTAGAGCTGGATAAGAGTTCTCCTAAATCATACCTTTGAGGCAGTTGAGATGGGAGATGTTAGTATTCGGGATGTGGGTTTATAATTTAGGGAAGAAACATAGAATAGGCCAGAGATTGATAGGGAGAGCACAGTGCCCATAAAGCAGCACAGTGTGGTAACGTTAGAAGGTTGTCAGTCAGTCCTCACCTCAGCCTCAGCCAGGAGGTGCTGAACCCACCACAGTGCTCGAGCCTCGTGAAAAGTCAGTCCAGGTGGGTTAGAGAGGTAACATCTTTTTTTTGGTTTTAATCTTTGTTACTGTTATTTTGACATTGACCCGAGGATTAATTGGAGCAGTCTCTGCCCATTGCCCAACCCTGTGTTCAAAAGACAGGTCGCTGTAACCTTGAACTCTTCTTCTAGCCTGATCCTTCAGCCTTTCAAAATGAAGCTAGGAAGTTGCTGCCCCAGTGCTCTCCTCCCCCAGCCCCAGTGCTTGAGGGAGCAGAGCATTTGGGGACCAGACGTCTGTCTCCTGTCACCTGGGCAGGTGGAGGAGCGCCGGGAGCGCTACATGGACTCCTACGACATTGTGCTGGAGAAAGATGAGACACTGGATGTGGTCAATGGGCTGCTGCAGGACATCCTGCGCCAGGGGGGCCAGATGGAGATGCAGGGCTCCTGAGTGTGTGGCGGGGGGCTGGCGCGCCGGCCACGCGGAGGAGGGGTGCCTCACCCAGCAGCTCTGCTGCAAGCATTGCTCCTGCCTGTGTGCCGGGAGGAAAATACAGGGTTGCTGCTGAACCCATGTCCCCGCCTTCCCCCCGTCACCCTCTGTTGTGTTCACCAGACTTGGGGGAAGACCTGCCATGTTGCAGGGGCAGCAAAAGCTGTTCTAAATGAACCAGGAACCTCAAGCAATTTGAGGATCATCTAATCCAGGAATTTTTTTTTTTGGTCACAATTAAACATTGGAACTTGTTCTTCAATTCTAACATAAGAAATGGATTAATATTTTAAAAATGAGAAAACAGCTGTGCTAACCCAGGAGGTATGTGATGTGGAGGGGAGCCTGTACCTCTTGGCCTTTGAGGCACAGGAACCTCCAAGGAGCCTCTTGACTCCGCGGTACAGTGTGGCCCCGAGAGTAGTCATGTCTCAGTGGATCCGGGGCAAGAAACCCTGCCTGTGGGGGTGGTTTGGTGTGAGACTGGTCTGCCATTTTCCCACCCAAGCACTTCCTTCCTGTCCACTGGACACTCTTAGCCAGTCTCCCTTGCTGTGGCCCGAATCCAGTGGGGCAGGTGAAGGTGGGTGGCAAGGCTGGTGACTGAACTGACTCGTCCCCCAAGATCCTGTGGAGATTTGAACTCAATCGCCTTCTAGTAAGGGAGAGATTGGGCAAGTGGTAATGACCCGTGGCCATGAGCAGGGAGAGGTGGGAATATTGGAAACCACCTGTGTAAAAAGGTTTAATTCAGCCTGTGTGGTTAATTTAATCGTTGAGCTTTGTATGTTTTGAGATTGGGGACCTTCTCTTTCCCATTCAGCTGGAAACTTCACAACAATGCAACACAATGCCCTGCCGCTGAGTTGGATCCGACCCAGAGACCCCTCCTTGGGTTTACAAGGTGGTATCACTACTTCTGTAGTGATTGTGCAGCCTTCTTCCTGAGGAGTGGCTGGTGGGTTTGAACCACCAGCTTTCTGTTTAGCAGTCAAATGCCTTAGGCACTACACCATCAGAACTACTGACTAGAAACTTAGAGGACAAGGACCATGGCTCCAGGCTGCCCTATAGGCTCCTCCTTTCTGCACACACACCCCCGCCCCTCCTTCCCAGAGCTGAGCTCCTTTTCCCCAGTGAAGCCCCCAAGAACCTCCCAAGGGAGAATGGTGAGATCTAGGGGCCCTGCCTCCAGCTGATGATCTTGCAAACAGCCTAGTTTGTCTTGTCTTCCCCAATCTTTGGTTCTAAACCGTGACCCCCGCTAAAAAAATATAGAGACCACATCCTAAGGCCTTTGGTTTAATCTTTTATTTGGCACACAAAGAAGAAGGTATGCCTTCCATCCCTCAGCCCCACGTGAGCCTCTCTAAATCATCCCAGAACAAAACCCAAAGATTTTATAGCCCTAAGACTCTGAAGGAGCCTGGAGGCACAGTGGTTAAGCTGATTGGCGGTTTGAAAGGTTGGCGGTTTGAAGACACCAACCACTTTGTGGGAGAAAGATGTGGCAGTCTGCTTCCATAACGATTACAGCCTTGGAAACCCTATGGGGCAGTTCCACTCTGTCCTATAGGGTTGCTGTGGATCAGAATCGATTGGAGGGCAGTGGGAAAGCCTATCTGAGCAGGGTTCTTTGTTTTCTGCCTCTTCAAGACAGGGACAAAAGGTCACCCGCTCCCCCAGCACCCCGGGGTCATCTCAGCCTCTACTGGATGCAAGGAGATGGGAGCGTGGACAGGGGAGGTAGCGTTATCCTCCAGGAGCCATCCCCTTCCCTAGGAACCAGCCAGGGCTGAGGGACAGAGGCAAGGGGTCTTCCTAGCCCTGATCCACACTCTGGGTGAGGTGCCACAACAGAGGAATGGGGGCTAGAGGTAGAGCTGGGGAGAGCAAGGAGAGGTGTAAGTAGAGGGGGGCAGGGTGAATAGAGAAATAGGATGAGCTAGTCTCCTAAGTGTCTGGTGATGGCGGGGCAGAGAGGGGAGGGGATAGTGATGGACTCCACCCATCCCCAGTTTGGCTTTCTAACTCCAAAAATCTTGGAGTTTGTGGTTGGAGGAGAAAAACGGAATCGAGGTCTGTACTGTGGAGCTGCTGAGAAGACCAACGTTAGTTAGCTCCTCTGACAACTGTTTAGATGGCTCGGAGACTTTACCTGGGCAGAGAGGAGTGACTGTTCAGAGGTCAGTCCCACTGCCCTGTCCCCCAAAAAAGCGGGCCTTTCCATGTAGGGGCAGGCCCAGGCTTCCTGCCTTTCAGAGCTCCTCATGGACCCGCTCCTGGTCTTCATCTGACTTCAACTTGAGTTCCTCAGCGGTGACCTTGCCATCCTGGTTGCGGTCCTGGTTCTGGAACATGTCCCCTATGGTTTTCTCAGGGTCCTGCCCAGGCATGAGGCGTCCTTTGCCCTCATTCACTTGAGCCTTGATGAAGATGGAGAACTGGGGGAGGGGAGAAGCAAAGGGAGTCAGGGTCACGGCTGAGCAACTGTGGCCTTGGGAAGGGCCCCTGGGTGGAGGCCAGAGAGGTGGTTTCTTTTTCGGGCTGCCCCAGCCCCTCCCCAGTTCAATGAGGACTGGGAGAAGAGCTGGTGCTGGGGTCGAGCTGACAAGGGCAGTAGGGCCCTGGTAGGGCCAGGGTGGAGGGCATGGCATGGGGATCAGTGCCCAGGCCGGGCTGCAGGGAACTGGCTACATGGGTGCCAGAAGGACAAGGACACTGAGGCACTGTGACTTGGTAATGGGGCAGGGACGTGGGAGCAAGGGTGGCAGGCAGGACGTGGGCTTCCTGGCAGGGGCACTCGTGTGGGCATGGAACTCCTCCCCTACCTCCTCCAGGGGCACCTCTCCATCCTTGTTGAGGTCCATGTTTTCAAACAGATCGGCTGGAGGGTCCTTGTGCCACACAAACAGGTAGCCTGCAGGCATCCCCTCCTCCCGGGATACCAGCTCCACCTCAAACAGGAGCACAGCGCTGCCAGGAACCCCACGGGCTGAGGAAGGGAGATGTGTCCCAATCAGACCAGAGTCTGGACGTGGCTCCCCAGCCTCATGTGCCCCTGGCCCTCAGACCTCAGTTTCTCCTCTTGGGGGCTGGAGAATGGGACATGGGATGTTTACAGAACTGTCCTGAAGGGTTCCCTGACTCGACTCCCATCAGCCATCAAGGAAAGCCTGAGACCGGTGGGGGCAGCCAAGGGCAAGAACGCCAGTCAGACCAATCCGCCCGCTCACCTCCGCTCTCCCCGTGCGCTAGGTGCGGGGGCACCACGAGCTGCCGCCTCTCTCCCACACACATGCCCTGCAGGCCCGTGTCCAGGCCTTCGATCACCTTGTTGGCCCCCAGTGTCGCCTCCTGGGGTGTCCCGTAGTCGTGGCTGGGGGAGAAAGCAATTCCCAGGTGGGCGCCAGCTCAGCCTCTGCCAACTCACACTCCCTTCACCCCTTGAGGGCCATGACCCGCCTTCACCTCCAAGGGCCTCCTCCTGGTGCCCGCCCCCCACACAGGAGTGCGTGGCCTGGGGGGTAGAGGTAAAACTCCCAGTTTCCTCTTGCCACTGCCCTTCAAGTGTGGCCTGGGGACCTCATCTGTCCCAACTCGTTTTGCTTCCCCTCCATAAAGTGAGAGTAGCGGCTCTCCCTCAAGGCTAGTTTCACCTCCCTTTCCCCTGCAGAGTAAGAGATCCCTCTCCTCACACCTCCTGTCTCCCTCACTTAAGTGGAGGAAGCAAGAGTTGCTGCCAGGACTGCCCCACCCATGCCCACCCACCTGCCCAGCCCTGGCCCTGCCCTGGACCCACGAGGAGAAGAGCTTGGTGCCGTCCATCAGGGAGCAGTTGTAGTGGTATCGAATAAAGTCCCCAAGTTTGGAGGTTTCATTGCAGGCCTCTGGGGGCCGGAAGAGTGTCTTGATTTCCACCGGGTCAGCAGGGTTGTGGAAGTCGATGACGTGGACGTCAAAAATCAGCACGGCAGAGCCAGGGATCTTGTCTCCTGAGGCCAGGATGTGGGAATGGGTGAGGTCTGAGCTCTAGGAGGGAGGGGCTGCCCAGTCTCCAAGGTCTTTCCTTCCCTGGGGTTTCAAAGGAGGATGGGGTGGGGTGTTTGTGTACACAGTCAGTTCTAAAATACTCTTATGGTAGAGAGTACGTGGAGCAAGGAGCATTCCAGTTTATGGAACCTTTTTACTCTCCCCTTGCATAGTCACTGTGTTACTCCCATGTTACAGGTGAGGAAACTGAGGTGCCCAGCATAGCTGGCTCTCAAATCCAGGACACTGTGCTTCCAAGGGCCATGCTGCTGTTTCTCTTCTTCATAGTCATCCCTCTTCCCCAACCCAGAAGTCGGCTGCCCTTCCCCAGTATGTAAGAGAAGAACTGGGAGGGACCAGACAGGACTGCCCCCACAGAAGATGGATGGAGTCTGTGGCTGTAGGGCAGTGGCTGGATCCCACTGTGGTGGGAAGCCCGGGCCATGCTGAGGGAAAGAAGGACAGTAAGCAGTTCAGAGAGGAGGTCAGGTGGTGGCGGCAGAAACAGCCCTACCGGTGCCATTCTCCCCGTAGGCGAGGTGTGGGGGGATGGTGATCCTCCGGCGCTCCCCCACACAGGCACCCTGCAGCCCCTGGTCCATCCCAGAGATGATGTAACCCTGCCCGATATAGGTATTGTAGGTGTGGTTGCGGGAGTAGCTGCAATACAAGTCAGGAAGGGTCGGGGGGCAGGGGGTGGTGGTCAAAGGGGCCCCTTCTCCTTCCAGGCAGCTCAGAGCCACCCTGCAATAGCTGCCTGGGGTGATCCCAAACCAAAAATCCAAACCCGCTGCCACTGAATCAATTCTGACTCATGACGACACTGTACGTACAGAGCAGACTGTGCTCCAGAGTTTTCAATGGCTGGGACCTTTCGGAAGTTAAATCTCCAGCCCTTTCTTCCGAGGTACGTCAGAGCCGTAGTTACAGACAGCCTACCTTTCAGTCAGTAGTCAAGAGCTAAACTATTTGTGCCAGTACCATATTTCC